CATTCTTATTAAGGAATCATGGTCCATATTCTCATACAGTTGGCATTAATCTCTCTGTTAAATTTAAAAATTTATATTCATTGTAAATTTCTTTCCCCCCCCCCCCAAAAAAAATACTTTAGAAAGGAGACTAAGCCCAATGTATATTAATGGTTTCTGCCTGAAGTTTTGACCTTAATGTTGTGTTTTACGGTTCTTATCTATTCTCTCTATTCAACAGTAGTTGTCAATAAGCCCTTGAAACGTACCAGTTTTATCACAATTTGCAGCTATCCAGAGTACAGAATGGTGAACTCCTGCCCTATACCCTGTCCTTTCATTCAGGTGCAAAGCCCAGCTACTGATATTCTCATCAATTGCTGTTCAGCTGAAGTGTGTTAGCCTGCCATTGTTCTATTTCATTTCATTTATTTATTATAATTACATGCAATATAACATTACAGTGTTCTACTTGGAAGCCTTCCACATGCACATATATTTCTAGAAGTGTATCCTTAGATCCATGGGTGTGTGTTTCTATGGCGAATTGTAATTTTGGAAATACAGTATATATCACCTGCAGACATGCTATGCAGTGGTGGGTTTCAAAATTTTTTACTACCGGTTCAGTGGGTGTAGCTTGGCGGGTGTGACATGGCTTGGTGGGCATGGCTTGGTGGGCGTGACAGGGGAAGAATACTCTAAAATCTCCATTCCCATCCACTCCAGGGGAAAGATACTGCAAAATCCCCATTTCCTCCCAATCAGCTGGGACTCAGGAGGCAGAGAATAGATGGGGACAGGCCAGTCAGAATTTTTACTACCAGTTCTCTGAACTACCCAAAATTTCTGCTACTGGTTCTCCAGAACTGGTCAGAACCTGCTGAAACCCACCTCTGATGCTATGTAAGATTGATCTTCAGCATATTTCTTCAATAAGAAATATGTCACCATTATATTAACTGGAAACATATACTGCATAAAATAATACTTGAACTATGACACAGTCAGTCCTCATCTTACGACCACAACTGAACCCAAAATTTCCATTGTTAAGTGAGGCAGTTGTTAAGTTAGTAACACGATTGATAAGTGAATCTGGCTTTTCCATTGACTTTGCTTGTCAGAAAGTCACAAAAGATGATTACCGAACACTGGGACACTTCAACCATCATAAATATGAGACAATTGCTAAGCCTCTGAATTTTGATCATGTGACCATAGTACAATTTCTACAGTCATTAAGTGTGAAAAATGGTCATAAGTCACTTTTTTCAGTGCTATTGTGACTTTGAACAGTCACTAAATGAACTGTTATAAATTGAGGACTATCTGTAATGTCTTGGCTCAAGTACTAATTAAACCTGTTTTCCTTTCCAAGTATTTTCTATGAACTCTCATAAAATAATTGTTCCCTACCATCATGTGTATACATTCACTGCAACTCACTATTTCCAAAGTTTTAAAGATGGCCTAATTTTAGAAGATAATGAGGCATTGGGGAATATGGCCAAAGAAAAAAAGAATGCGAGTATATTTTTTGCATATACATACATATATTGTGATTTTGACTGATTATAAAAAAATCATATTTAAAATGAAAGATTTATGAACAGATCATGATTCTTCTTAATTCTTTTTATAAGAATTCCAATGTTAATTTTTCTAACAGAACTTAAGATGTTCCTCCAAGTTCCAGTTACTTAGAGGTATTTAAAATATTGTATTCACTTAAACAAAAACTTATTTAAAATATTATACTTATTTTAAGGCATAATTATGTTTTAATGTTTTATTCTTAAAAAAAAAGAACTTGCCAGAAATATAACACTATATCATTAAATATGCATTCAAGGAAATCAGTGCTTTTCTTTTTATTGTACATTTTGTTTCATCAAAATATTTATAATAATATTATATAATTTATAGTAATTTGCTTTATATGAATCAGACCGAAGATATACTGATAACTCCATAACAACAGAATTACATTGATAATCTTCGCAAATTATAATAGCACAATATCACTTAGAACTAACTAACATTTTTGTTAAATATATATATATATATATATGATCAGTTAACAATATATATTTATTTCAAAACAACTTCATTAAACATACAAATACAACAAAGAAACAAGATAATGTTTTTCATAAGTTATAGATTTTTTATTTATCTAAACTTGTCCACTCTAGGCAAAATTTATAGTTTCTGAAATTCTGAATTTCTGAAAATTCTGATTTTTTTTTCTGTGCTGGAAACTTCATTTTGAACCAAAATTATTATTCAAATGTTTCTTTGATATCTTCCAAATTATGGAGAAATAATGGAACATGAGAAATTTACACAAGAATCTATGTAACTACAAAATATATCCTTAAAATACACATAAGAACCGATGAAACATATGGGAATAATGCATAAAGGAAACAAAATAATACAATCTATATTTTTAAAAACTGATGGATATTATTTTTAAGACAAAAAAGTAACAATAAAAACCACTGTTCCTTTTTTTTTAATGTTAATAAATTGGTTCTATCACAGGAGTTCTTTTCTGAATATTAAATGCCATTTCTTCAAACATGTATTTCTACACTGATCAAATATAGAAAATGAATTATAATATTGTTCTGTTTTAAAAGGAGATTATTTGAATGTAGGAATGTGCAATTATTCCTTCAGTTTTCCATAGTTCTGTTTTGAAAACAAAAAAAAATAAATAAAAATAACATTTTAATTAGTTGCTCTATTAATCTATAATAGCAGTATGAGCAATATATAATAATCAAATATTTTCAGTCGGAAAATAATTCCTAATGATTTCATTGGGTAAAATTAATTACTAATTGTTCTTATTAATTCTGTAGCTAAAAATATATATTTTACATTAATCATTGCTACATATTCATGCATATATTTAATTAAACAACATTTCAAATTTATTGCTTTCCAACATATACAATATATTAATATCCTGGTATATTAGATCTGGAAAATTCTCTGTCTTAGTATTTGTCCCTCAGAAAAATCAAATAATGTTAATAATTGTATTGTAGTTTCCATACTCCCACAAGTGAATAATTTATATATTGATAATAATTTTCATTTTTAAATATTATTTCATGTTGTTATCCATAAAAAGTATGGACATGATATAAAAAACGTCCATACTTCATGATCCATCTAGCTGTACGTATAGATTTGCATTATTATAAAAACTAAAATCAATTTTTGGGATGAAAGTTATAGAGTGAAGAAATTACTCAAGTTTCTTACTCAATCAAAGGCACCAATCAGAATATAGGAGAATCAGAACAGAATTTAACTAAGTTATGTGAGGATCAATATGGGTTCAGTAATGGAAAGCTTTTGGTTTTTTCTCACTATTTCTAAATTGCAATATTCAGCAGTCCTGCAGTAGATGGTCTATAAATCCTTTACCCTTATTGTAGATTAGTATGATCTACATATAAATTAGTATGATTCTACATATAAATCCAGTCTACAGGTTTCTATGTAGCAAGGCAAAGAAATTTCTTTGCCTTGCTACATAGAAACCTGTAGACCAGATTTATATGTTGTAATTGTACAATATATTGTAATCTTCATATTTATTCAGTAATTTCATCCTAGAAGAGAATGATTTTTAAATTTACTTTTTATTGTTTATTATAGCCAAATGTCTTCTCCATTATGTTGGATGGATTGAAGAATCCACATATCTTGTCAAATACAAAAGTGAGTTAAGTCATTCTTTTTAAGTTTCAAAAATTTCCTTCCTTCCTTCCTTCCTCCCTCCCTCCCTCCCTCCCTCCCTCCCTCCCTCCTTTCCTTTTTATTTCCTTCCACTGGAAATATTTCACTGTTTCAATCATACCATTTTAATCCTTTTATTGTATGTTCTCTCTCCCTCTCTCTCTCTCTCTCTCTCTCTCTCTCTCTCTCTCTTCAGATTTGTTTTTTTTTCCCCTGTTTATTTGTGTAAATAGTATTTCCTAGTACATAATTTTATGTGAATTTTCTTAAATTGAAAGATTGCTTTGAAATAAATTTTGGAGAGAGGGAGAGGGAGAAGGAGAGGGAGAGAGGGAGAGGGAGGGAGAGGTAATAAAACATGAATGGAAGTTTTCATGTGAATCTCTTTATACATGTTTTCTGATGTGTGAATCTTTTACTGTTTCATTAATTATTGTCAGGGAAAAGTTATCAAATAATACAATACTAAAAACGTTTCTGAAAGATTAATGAAGGATCAGCATCTTCATTGTAATTGCAGGGGCAATTTCTTTAGGAGTAAAGATGCTGATTTATTGCAAGCATATTTCCCATACATAGACAAGAATCACTTCAATGATAAACTACATTCAAAAACTGATTACATCAAAAGAACATTCACATACATTTACAAATGCTGGTACCCATAACTGGAAGATGGATGTTCTTTTAGATAAGTAGACTGAAAAGTGTTTGTCAATCAGAAAAGCTTTCCCTAGTGTCCATTAGTTCTTTGCAGAGAGATTGCTGAATGCAGAAGAATTAAATCAAAGCATACAGAGTGATGCAATGAAAGGTCTGGGTTTTTTCATGGGTTTTCCAATAAGTATGCCTAAAATGCTGACATTTGCAAAATTATTTTGGTTTATTGAAAGATTTTCACATTCTTCAGATATTTTTGTGGCTTTTTCCTTCTCCTTTCCAGAACAACTCTAATGCAGGAAATAGGAGAAAATGAGACTGAAGTGACTGAATTTATCCTCATTGGATGGTCCGATAGACCCAAGTCAAGGATGATTTTAATACCAGTTTATATTATTTCCTGTTTTGTAGCAATTGCTGGAAATGGTCTCATTGTCTTAGTAGTCATATGTGATCCACGACTCCACAACCCCATGTACTTTTTCCTATGTAATCTCTCTTTTATTGACCTTGGACTCACAACAACCACAACTCCTCAGTCAATTGCCAATTGTTTAGTGGATAGGCCTGTGATGTCTCTGGCTAGATGTTCTATGCAAATGTATGCTATTCTCTTATTTGGGACAACAGAATGTTTCTTTCTGGTAGTCATGGCTTATGACCGTTTCATTGCCATCTCGAGGCCACTGCACTATACTTTGATCATGAGCAGCACAGTTTGCATTGTGTTAGCTGCTGTTTCATGGTTTCTAGCCTTTCTGTTTACTGTAATTCCTTGCCTTGTAAAGCCAGCCAGATTTTGTGGAAACAATGAAATTGACCACATTGGATGTGAACTTAATCTATCATGAAACTGATTTGTACTGATACCTCTTCAAGCCAGATACAGATTTCTTCCTTTTGCATATTTATTCTCCTTCTTCCCCTTGCCTTTATCCTTTTTTCTTACATGCGCATTCTTCAGTCCATCCTAAGAATGCCTGCAGAAGAGGGCAGAATGAAGGCTTTTTCTACATGTGGGTCCCACCTGTCTGTAGTGACTGTGTATTATGGTGTTGCCATTTTTACATATCTTCTTCCTCCAAATGAGAACATGTGTGAGGCTGAAAAGATACTTTCTATCTTTAATTCTGTATTAATCCCTGTATTCAATCCTTTAGTTTACACCCTCCGAAGTCAAGAGGTTCTGTGGGCACTAGGAAGAATGCTAATGAAGAACAAGTCAGACATGCAATATTGAACTCTGATGCTGCTCATTCAGCTGTCTAATTTCTTTGAAATTAATTGAACAATTTTTTACTTACTTATCTGTTGTTTACTTTCTGTATGAGAAATGTTACAAATCAATGATGGAAGTATTTGAAATCAGCTTCCATTTCAATTTACTAACTGAAACTTTCAAGTATCCTAAATGTGCTTTTTTTTCAAAAAGCCAACTGGACTTTGTATTTCTTTGAAGATTTTTCACTTCTTATCCAAGAAGCTTCTTCAGTTCTTAGATGAGAAGGGAAATGTCTTCAAGAAAAAACAAAGTCCAATTGGCCTTTTGAAAAACACCTTTGAGACATCCATGGCCTGGATGACTGAGAATCTACATAGAGAAACATTTAAGTGGTTATTGCTACTTCTTTTGCCAGAAACTTGCTGAATTGCTTAATGGACACTAAGCACTGGCTGAAAATTTTCCATTTAGAGCTTTTTTTTAACTCACAGAAAAAGTACCACCACATACTATTATTTACTGTTTGGAGCATATTTACAATTTATAAACAAAAGATTCAGGAATGCACCACCCTCAATACGGTTTCCCACCAGAAACTGCACCAATGTGTGCTATCGCTATAGAAAACTATTCTTTGTTTATGGAGGTTCTCTTCCATGCAGAATAGCTCAGAATCTAACACAACATCTCTGTAATGAACTAATTTAGTTCATTATTATTCTCATTCTTTAACTTTATAAGGAGCACACTGACATATATATTTTAACTCCAGTAGCACAGAATTATACTGCTACTCTTCTGAAGTGATTTAAATAACTTAGAAAATGAAATGTTTAACTTGTTCAAGACATGACCAGCTTCAGTTCCCATCATGTATTACTTTGGAAAAAACTTCATGAATACTTTTCATGAATTACAAATTATAGAATATTTGATTGATTTTTTTCCCATTTGAGCCCCATATTGACTGTTAACCTTTTATTTATTTTTTCTTTCACTGCTAGAAATAACATTTCATAACAATGGTGAAACAGTGGTTAGAATGCAGTACTGCAGGCTACTTCTACTGACTGCCAGCTGCCAGCAGTTCAGCAGTTTGGCAGTTTGATTCTCACCAGCTCAAGGTTGACTCAGCCTTCCATCCTTCTGAGGTAAAATGAGGACTCAGAATGTTGTGGGGCAATATGCTAACTCTGTAAACTGCTTAGAGAGGGCTGTAATGCAATGTGAAGTGGTATATAGGTCTAATTGCTATTGCTATTAATTTTAGTATCTCTTGAAAAACATTTTCTAAATTATGGGAAATTATGGTCATGAGAAAATAGCACAAGTAACTTCAAAACTACAAAATATATTCTTAAAGGTGAAAGGAAAAAATAATGAGTCCTATAGGGAATAAATAGTTTATTTTTACATTTTTAAAAAAATACACTGATATTATTAAGCTAATAAAAAAACTTGTTAATATTGAAAATACTCTTTATTAGCCATTAGTACTTGGATTAAAAAGAAGATCCAACAAAGATGGGAATCTATTTTTGAATTTTATTGAATCAGCTATGTCATTTTGTTTTCTCTTTCTTTTCTTTTTGAAATACCATTTGCTATATGAATCGTTCAGGTAAACCAGCACTCTGTTCTACAGGTACTCATATAGCACTTTATTTATCAGCTACATGAACATAGCAGGAGTCCCCAGCAGCCCAAAAAAGAAGAGTCAGAACTGGAAATTTTGCAGTTCTTTCTTGAGTTTTCTGTATGTGACATTTTAAGGATCTTCAGAGGTAACATTTAGGGAGTAAGAAAAGGTAATTACTGCATATTCTTATGCATAGTGTATCTAAAGTGGAACATTCTGTTTAAAGAATATGCTTTTCATATTGATCAATTATAAATTTTCATTCATATATTAATTAAGCATCATTCCAAATTTCTTCTCTTTTCTGAAGCACCCACTTTGTATGCCATATATATGTCTTTCTTACTATCTCTTTAGATACAATATTTGTTTTAATGTTGTAAGTCACACAAAGTCAACTATGTATGATTAGATGACCATATAAATGTGTTAAATAAATCTCTCAGTAAAAGTTTTTTTTTTTAAAAAAAAGTATTGAATGATTATTTTTTATCAATATATTGATTTCCTACTCCTTATGTTGCCAAATCCTTGGTTCCCAAGTATCCAATAAGATGGTTGTAAATCAGCACTCCTGTTATTCTATGCTAATCCCTGGGTGACTTGGCTCCGTTCTTCTCACTCCTTGAAGAGCCAATGCCAAACCACTTCTGAAATCATTGGCAAAAATATAAAAGGGATTAGTCCAGCAAGAGTCAACACTGACTTGAAAGCATACAGAAACTGGCTGGGCTACCAGGACAGCATGGGAGGGTGCAGGGAAGGCAGGCAAGCAGGCTGGGCTGCTAGGACCATGTGGGAGGCTGCAGGGAGGGCAAACAACAGGCTGGGCTGCCTGGACCACGGTGGGAAGGTAGGCAAGCAGGCTGGGCCATGGGACCATGTTGGAGGCTGCAGGGAGGGCAAACAACAGGCTGGGCTGCCTGGACCAGTGGGAAGGTAGGCAAGCAGGCTGGGCCACGGGACCATGTTGGAGGCAGCTGGGCGAGGAGTGAAGGAAGACTCACCAGCAGTGGTGGGTTGCCTCCAGTTCGCCTGGTTCTATAGAACCAGTAGTAAAACCAGCGGGAGGCTCTGCCCACTGACCCTGATGTCATCAGAACATGCACATATGCAGAAGAGAGAGAGAGCGCACGTGGCCCCATTGCGAACTGGTAGTAAAGGTAAGTAAAACCCGCCCCTGCTCACCAGGCAGAGATCAGCTGGTTGAGGCAAGCAAGGGAACCAGTTACATAGCAGCAGAAGCTATGCCTTGGTGTGACTCTATGCACTGGCCAAGACAGCCAAGGCGAGATAAGGAGTGACTGAGAGGTGAGGGGGGAGGGGCCAGCCAGTGGTGCAATTTGCCAGTTTTCCCCAACTGCACAAAATCTTAACAACCTGCCCTCCTCCTCTTTATGACAACCTCTCAAATATTGGAATACTGCTATCATGTCCACCCTAGTCCTTCTTTTCTCTAGACTTGCCAAACCAAAATCCTGCAACAGTTCTTCATATGTTTTAGTCTCTTAGGTCTTTATTCATCTTAGTTGCTCTAATGTTATGGCTTGCTGATGAGAGCTAAATAGCTTGAAATAGATCTATGCCAGTCTCTCTTTATTTCTTTGTTGGTAAAATAAAGCTTCAACATGCACAATTTTTTTTTAATGTTTCTGGTTTTTAATATATAAGTCAATAAAGCTGTTTGGAGTCAGGTGACTTCTAAATAAATAAGAAACTAAAGAAACTATTGTAACTTTTAGGTTTTTTTATTTTGTTAAATTAGCATTTTTTTGCAAAACTTTTTTTTTAAATTCAATTAAAAGTGAAGATAGAATTCTCCAAAAATAAGTAATGAAACCCCTGAATGTTTTGTTTGTAAGGAAGAAAATATATCTATTCAGGTATATAATATTACTCTTTGCATTTAATTCTTTTTCTTATTCAATCTTTGCAAAAAAAAAAAAAAAGAATTGCCCATAGTGGAAAAAAGTCATCTTCATCTCAACTGTATATTTTCAGTGTTTGGTTACATCTATATATTTTTACAAATAATAGAAACAGAGAATATGGAGAAGGTAAATAAGACTGCATTGAATTTATCCTTATTGGCTTTTCAGGTTGACCAAAACCAAGTTTGAGATTAATGGTTTTCCTGGTAATTATATACTGTGTAACAGTGGTGGGAAATGGCCTTATTATCTTGATCACCACAATGGATCTTCATCTCCACAAACCCATAGACCTTTTTCTCACCAATTTATCCTTCCTTGATATAATCTATTTAACATCCTCAATCCCCCAGAACATTGAAAATCTTCAACTGGACAGACCTTCCATCACCTTTTCATTGTGTTTTTTTTCAAATGAGTATTAGTGTATGGTTAGGCATAACTGAAGGTTTCCTCTTGGCTGTTATGGCTTATGATCGGCATATAGCAATTTTTGCTCCTCTGCATTATACAATAACCATGAGCAAAAACCAGTGTATTCAGTTAGCAGTTGGGACATGGTCTGTTGGCTTAGTTTCAGGAGTAATTCCCATTTATGTGATACCAGCAGACTTTTGTGGGAATAATATGATTGATCATTTTTCCTATAAACTCAAAGCCGTTTTCAAGTTTATATGCTCAGATACTTCTTTGAATCAGGTAATAATAATAATAATAATAATAATAATAATAATAATAATAATAATAATTTTATTTCTATACCGCCCTTCTCCCGAAGGACTCAGGGCGGTGTATAGCCTATTTAAAAACACAGAAACAAAACAACAGTTAAAATTTAAAATCATTAAATAATTAGGCTCCAATTAAAATCCCAGAAATTTAAAATACCCTAATTTAAAACGTTATGTTAATAGCCCGGCCTGGCGGAACAACAGGGTCTTCAGAGCACAGCGAAACACCCGGAGGTCGGAGATCTTACGTATTTCCGGGGGCAGTTCATTCCACAGGGCTGGGGCTCCCACAGAGAAGGCCCTCCCCCTGGGTGTCACCAGCCGACATAACTTGGCCGATGGCACCCTGAGGAGACCCTCTCTGTGGGAGCGGACTGGTCGGTGGGAGGCTATTGGTGGTAGGAGTCGGTCTCGAAGGTACCGGGTCCTATGCCATGGAGCGCATGGAGGTAATTATGCTACTCACAGGAATTCTCACATTTCTTGGCCCCTTTGCCTTTATTCTTTTCTCTTATCTGCAGTTGTTGTGGTAATTCTGAAAATTCAGTCTGGAAGTAGAAGATTAAAAGCTTTCTCTATATGTGTATCACATTTGATAGTAGTATCAATTTTCTATGACACAACTATGTTCTCATATTTCCAACCTCAAACTAAGAACATGCAAGAGATGGGACAAAATACTGTATTTTTTTTTTTTTTTACTATAAGACGCACTGG